CCCTCCCTCTCTCCCCCTTCCTGTCTCTCTAAAACCAATAAAAAACATATTTTTTAAAACAGATGAAAGGAAAAAGCCATTTAGAGCTGTAACATACGAAAATTTAATTTGGGACTAAATCTGAGGACTCTTGACAGTGCAGACAGACAGATGGGCTGGGAGTCAGACAAAGCTTTATCCTAAGAGCTACTCATCTACGGTGATAGTCACTCCACGGGTGGAACTTACGTGAGCACAGTTTATGCCTAAAGTATATATATATAAGCATATCAAATATGCAGTTGAGCGTAAAGCTGTGATTTCAACGTGAATGGTGATTCTTGGCATCCTAAGTGTATTCCACGTATGAACAGTGCACAGCTTAAAAATACAGAAGTCGAATAATACTGTTACTCAGAAATTGTTCTCCTGCGGGGAGCGCCTGTCACTCCCACTTTGCAGTGGCTACGGTGCCCCTCGTCCCTGGGCTCCGATCACCGGCTGTCACGGGAGTGGGGGGTGAGTTGGCTCCTTTCTTAATCAAGCACAAGTGCCAACAGGAGTGACCCAGCTCCCGGGAGGTAAGGTGTGTGGGAGAGAGGGACTCGTGGAAGACAAACAGGACGGCTCCGGCCCCGGCTCCCCGTGGTGTTTCGGTTCTCACTCTGCCGCCAGTGGGAGGATATGCAGATTCCTCTCTCTCTGGTTCCACATCTGTTTTGTCATCGGCTGTGGCCCTGAACCTCAGGAGTCACTTCCCACGGTTCTGTGTCTGTGGCGTCATCTCTCACCACGTGCTGGTGCGTGGGCATCAGGCATCTGAAACAACGCTCACGTCCTTCCCCCCTCCCGGGGGAGCACGGTCGGCCCCCCGAGAGCTGAACCAAGCGTGTTTCCTCATCCGAGTCCCCGGGCTCCTTCCTCACACAGCTGGGATCACGGGGCCACCGTCTACGCTGCCTGCGGGGCGGGGTGCCCTGTCTCCCAGCTTTAAAGTTCCCTGCTTACGGCCTCTCTTCTTTATCCAGAATCCCCCGTATTAATTGCTGTAAAGTTACACTGAGAGGATGGGATAAAAACACGGGTTTGGGTAGACTGACTCCTCTAACAGTCAGCTGGAGAGGTGATTGTCCCTGAAACCCCCCACGTCTCCTCCCTGGGGGCCAGAGGAGTCCCTCCAAGGAGGTCTGATCGGAAGCCAGTCCCTCTCACAGGTCCTTGGACACCACGGCCAGGTCGTGACCTTGGCCACGCCATCTGGGTGTGTCACATGCCTGTGGCTTCCCGTGGCTTCCATCCCAGTTGTCCGTCCTTAACCAGGAATGAGACACCCCCAGGAGAGATTCCTGCTCTACTGTGTGCTGTTCGGTAGTCTGTCCTCGTGTCCGTATGTGCGGGACACTGCGCTGTGTACCTGGCGGACACTGGGACACCTCCGGGTTTGGCAGCAGGCCAGTTGCACTCGGGCAGAGGTGGGAAGTGAGGAGGCCACTTTGTAGAGTCCCGGGTCCTCCGCCCCCCTCCCCGTCTTCCTCCGGTCCTCAGGACACCTCTCCTTTCCTTCCCCTGGCACCTCTGCTTCCAACACCGGAAGCCTCTGTGTCCCTATTAAAACGTGCTCCCCACGAAGGATTCAACATAGCCCTGGATACAGGTGTGTGACTGCCGCTTAAAATAGCGCCTCCGAGGGCGAATCCGCACAGTCACGCCATCAAAGGTCTTCGGCTACACTGATGAGCATCTGACCAGCGTCCCAGGAACCACTGGCACTGTCCTCGCGGCCAGATCGCCCCTGGGTGCCCCCCGACTCCCCACCCGCCTCTCAGCCGGCGGGGATCTGACCTCAGGCCGCCCGATGCAGTCCCGGGAGTGGGAGACTCGGGAGCCCCAGGTCACCTGGGAACAGCGGCTGGAGATTGTCGGGGCTCCAGGGCTGGGGCAGGACGCGCCGGGGCCTTCGAGGCAGACGTGAACGCGTGTCAAACGTGATGCCTGTGAGCGCACAGCCCGGACGGACGGCTGCATACATGCTTCACGCGCGTTCCTGCTTTGAGGATGTTGAGAGAAACGAGGGCGTCTCGCTGTTCCCCCCTTCCAGCTCCATGTCGTGCACTGGAACTCGGACAAGTACCCCAGCTTCGTGGAGGCGGCTCACGCGCCCGACGGACTAGCTGTCCTGGGAGTGTTTCTACAGGTGAGAACCCACTGGTTTCCTTTGAAATAACTACTCCGCCGTGCACAGCAGAGTTTTAGCCGCAGAACGGACATCCTACCGTGTGTTGTTAGTAATCTTCACCCGAGGGTATTTTCCCCGTTGATTTCTTTAGAGAGAGTGGGAGGGAGAAAGGGAGCGGGGAGGGGGAACGTCTTGATTGGTTGCCTCCCATAGGTGCTCCGACCAGGACTGGGGATCGAACCTGCAACCCAGGTACCTGCCCTTGACCCGGAATCGAACCCACAGCCCTTCGGCGCCCGGGCCGACGCTCTAACCACTGAGCAATGCCGGCCAGGGCTCTGCCATTTTTCAATAGCAAACTTGCTCGAGGTTTAATGTTTTCCTTTTGAAACGAGTGTCAAAGTTCTGTATGTTTATGGTTCATCCAGGGCCCAGAGCTACCCCGGGAGCCTCGCCTTTCGACCCCTCCTGTTGTCCGCTGATCATTTTTATTAATTAGCGACAGCAGCAGTAGCTCGGAAGGTGGCAAGGGAGCCCCTGAGAGGAAAGCCTGTGTCCTGGCTGCGTCGTGACCGCACAGTAGTTAGGGGAACAGGGCAGAGTCGGGGTGAACGTCCTGATTCCTGAAGCACTGGTCGGACCACAAGGGTTCGTTGTCCCAAATGCACTGACCATTTTTTGTTGTGTTTTTTGTGTCTTAGTCACAAGCGGTCAGACAGGTCCGGCGGCGGTGACACCTGTGGGTGGGTGGGGCCGCTCCACTCCCACTGGGACCACATTCCTTCCTGCAGGGTGTTCCTCTTGGTTACGACACCCACTCGAATGGGGAAGTAGGGATCTGCTCAGGGTGGCATGTGGCCTTGATTCGGGACCTCCTGTCATTTTAGGCTGAACGTGGGAGACGTTTTTCCTCTAACTTTTTTTTTTTAATTCTCTCCCGAGGATATTTTTTTTCCCATTGCTTTTCATTGAGAGTGGAAGGGAGAGAGAAACATCGATGTGAGACGGACACATCGATGGGCTGCCTCCTGCAAGCGCCCCAACAAGGGCCGGGGACTGAGCCTGCAACCCAGGTACATGCCTTTGGCCGGAATCGAGCCCAGGACCCTTCGGTCTGCGGGCCGACGCTCTAACCATTGAGCCACACCAGCTAGGGCTTCCCTCTAGTGTTTTGATGTCACAATAGTCCGGGTGGGTGGAGGGTCTGAACATCACACCTGGCTTCGTGGTGCAGGTGTGATGGATGTTTCCCAAGCCAGGCTTCTCCCTAATTCACCTGCATCTGAAACAATCTTATATCTGAAGTAGGGAGCTGTCGCCACAGGTGTAGGGGTCAAACTTACAGTTCAGCGGAGGAGCCTGAACAGTTTCTCCGTGTTCAGACTTCACGCAGGACAAGGCCCAGGACACTCACCGCTTGCTCTTGGCTGGCTTAGGTGTTTTGTGGTTGTTTTTTTATGTTTTTTTAAAAATATATCTTTATTGATTTCAAAGAGAGGAAGGGAGAGGGAGAGAGAGAGAAACATCAATGATGAAAGTCATTGATCGGCTGCCTCCTGCACGCCCCCGACTGGGGGTCGAGCCCACAACTCGGGCATGTGCTGGACCAGGAATCGAACTGCATCTCCTGGATCCTAGGTCGATGCTCAATTGCTGAGTCACACCGGCCGGGCTGTTGTTGTTTTTTTAAAAGAATTAAGAAATCGTGACTGAAACTGAGTGATTCAGACTGTTCTGCGACAGTAACCATGTGAAATGTCATGTTTTCAGATCGGAGAATTCAATCCCCAACTGCAAAAGATTACTGACATCCTGGACTCCATAAAAGAAAAGGTAAAATTAACTCCCGTTGATTGATGACTAACACAGTCCTTGTTTTCTGCCGAATTATCTTCTTTCACCACCGTGGCCCGAGCCAGAGCCTGCACTGCCTCCTCTGAGCAGGTCGGCGCGTCCTTGACGGGCGGAGCAGCGGCGACCTGTCCGCACGAACTCCCTGGGTGTATGAAGGAGCCTCAGTCACCTAGAATAATCGCAGAGCTCTGCTGATGCAAGATTAGTTTACGTTGTTGGAGTTCTACAGAACAAGCCTTTAGCTGCAACTCATTTTAAAGACCACTTACATGAACACAAATCTCATCCTTTCACATAAACCTAAGTGCCGTCCGACTTCCTCTGAAGCCTTTAGATGAGGCAGATACTCTCTATAAAATACAAAAGGCGGCCGGCCTGTGTCTCAGTGGTGGAGCATCATTCCGTGAACCAAGAGGTCGCAGGTTCGGTGCCTGGTCAGGGCACCGCCCGGGTTGGGGGCTCCATCCCCAGTCGGGGGCGCACACGCAGCCGATCGATGTCGTTTCTCTCTCATCGATGTTTCTATCTCTTTCTCTCTCTCCTTTCCTCTCTCTCTAAAAAAATCAATAAAAACATATAAAAAATAAAATGAAATACAAAAGGCAGGGGCTACCTAATTCCGTGAATGGGTGAATTCCAGTGAAATCCTGTTTCATTGGATGCTCGTCTTGGGGGGCCTGGGAAGCTTTCCCGTTGTAATCTGTGGCTTTCCCTTTCCTGCTCCAGGGCAAACAAACTCGGTTCACGAACTTTGACCCCTTGTCTCTGCTTCCTGCGTCCTGGGATTACTGGACGTACCCTGGGTCACTCACGGTCCCGCCTCTTCTCGAGAGCGTCACGTGGATCATCCTAAAGCAGCCCATCAGCGTCAGCTCTCAGCAGGTAGGCGGCCCTGCCGGTGATTCGATTCCCTAGGAAACCGGGCTGAGTTTTTACCCCCCGACTTCTGCTGCTCTGTGAAGCCTGCGTCCCCTCATTCATCAGCGATGTGGTTGGGCCAGACGAGATTTCTGCCCTTTCCTATTCGACCTCGATTCGGTGGTCTCTTCCCCACCCCTTAGAGACGCCGCCTGCGGGCACGCAGTGCGAGGGGGGTGCCCCTTGGAAGGCGCCGCTGTTTGCTTCTGTTTCCTTCTGTTTGAGACGTAAAGGGCCTGGGATTCATGCAGAAAGTGAGGACAGAGGCTGCTCTTAGGAGGCAGTGTTGTCCTTCCAGCCTCAGTCCCCAGACCTGCCCCCGTCCAGTTTCACATTCAGGAAGGGACAGTGGACACGGACGGTGCGCCTGCCGAGTTTAAGAAGGAACCCGTGTGACCCGTGGCTCCCGGTGACAGAGCTCCCCTGGGGCGCCTGAGGGGCTGTGAGCGTCTACTCGGAGGCTCTTCTATGAAGACGCTTCCTCCCCACTTTCTGATAAGTCTGCAGGCTCGGCCCCTTTGCCCAGACACTCTGCTCGGCTGGGAAACGGCGACTGACTGTGTGCCGGGTGGACGCCGGTACCCTGGGAGGCTGTGCCTAGTGGGATTTTTTTCCTTTTCGAATTACGTGCTGCAAAACCTTAGCAAGAACGTAGTCAAATAATTTTTGCAGCTAATAAAGCACTTCTGTTCCGGGCTGGCCACCTGCCCAGCCGTTTGTTTTTCCCCCCAATCAAAGACTAGAGCTGGTTGACCTCTACCAAGGTCGTGTCAGGGACATTTCCCTTGGCTGCGAGGAACACGGGCCACTTCTGTTGACCTTGTCTTAGGATGAAGGACACATAATACCTGGGGCGTAATCATTAAAAGCTTTATAAAGGTCTGAATAGGAATCCAGAGCTTGACTGACATGAAAATTGCTGTGAATTTTTTCCATTAGAAATAAGGTGAGTTGTGTCATCAGAATAATGACCTGCCCCGGAGTTGGCAGCCTTACCGGTGGATTTCATTTCCACCTCTCGGGGCGCCGAAGCGTTTGCCTTCACAATTCGTGGTTATATTTGAATAGTTAGAGAAACAGGAAGAGTTAACATGACTTCACAATAAGGAGCCGTGTGTTTGCGCATATGGAAGGGTATCTGTATTCCTTAAAGCCACTTGGAAGGTAACTTTTTAAAAAATCCACCTGTGATTTGGAAGAGAGTACATAGAAATATATGGCGCTTCCTTAAAGTGCATAAAGTTAACCCAATCAAGACAACTTTCTACAAATGTTGGGATTATGACTGCCTCGCTGTGAACTCGCCACTGTATCTTGAGACTCAGTTGATTAATATTAATTATTAATGTGGCTTTTTGTACGGTAGAGGTTATAAAGTAATAGCGGAGTCCCAGAGTGTTAGCGAGACTGGGAATTCACTTCAAAGCGTTCGATTAAATCTACAATAGTGGAAACACTTTCCGACATTTTTATTCAAAACCAGATTGAAGTGATTATCTGAGTAATAATCCAAATTATTATAAAGAAATGTGATAGTGGTTTTCAGACTTAAGAATGAAGCAAAAGATATTTTACAAGTCCAGTCCCAGTCTTAACCATGAGAAAAATGTCAGACAGAGCCCAGTTACGGGACATCCTGCAAAACAGCTGATCAGTGCTCCTCAGAACTGTCCATGTCACCAAAAAAACAAGGGAAGCCTGAGAAATTGTCATAATCAGGAAACACTCAAGGAGACGGGACTGGTAAGTGTTATGCTGTTTCCTGGTGGGATCCTGGAGCAGAGAAACATTAGGTAAAAACAAAGGAACTCCAGCCCTGGCTGCTGTGGCCCAGCGGCCGGGCGTCATCGGGCCACCAAGAGGTTGTCGGTCTCACTCCGGGTCGGGGCACAGGCCGGGGTTGCAGGCTCGGTCCCCAGCAGGGGTCGTGCAGCAGGCAGCCGATCGATGTTTCGCTCTCACACCGATGTTTCTCTCTCTCTCCCTCCCCCTCCCCCTCTCTCCAAAAATCAATAAAGTATTTTTTAAAAAATCAACAGAGGAAATCTGAGTGAAGGGTAGACTTCCGCTCAGGATGACACGAATAGTGGTTCATTCGTTGTGAAAATGTACCGACCAATGTCAGGTGGCAATAAGAGGAAACCGAATGTGGGGCACACGAGAGCCCTTTGTACTATCTTTGCAGTAATCCCGTAAATCTAAAACTGTTTTAAAATAAAAAGTTTATTTAAAAATCCCCAAGACAAAAGGGTTGGTAAGAGTATTCATACAGCAAGGTGAAAATGCCCTTTGTGTACCCACCGACGTCACAATCACTTTCCGGAAGATGGTATTTCATCTCCACGATGACAGCTCTTTATTTTTGAAGCTGCTGGGAAACATTTTTATTTATTTTTCAACCCCACCATAAATCCTCTTCGTAGTAAGTTGGTGCCAGCTTCTTCCCACTGCTCTTTCTTGCCAAGGCGCTGTCTGACCTGAAGGGCAGATCAGAGGGTTTTCATTTGCTTTTTCTTGACTCACGTCCATGTTTCTCCCGAGTCACGGACGGAAATGCTTGATTTAACCGCCGGGCCAGGGAACAGACACTTTTTTTTTCTGATACTCGGGATAACAGATCCATCATTTTCGTTGGCCGGCTGACCTGTCTCGCGGCATCTCTCCGGGTCATCCTGAGCTATGCACACTGGCTCACTCGTCTGCGGAGACCCAGTGTGCAGGACACTTGCCTTTCATTCTGGGCTCCTTCTGGAAAATTCTCCCTTTTCCTTTGTTGTGATATTGTTTGCATAGAACAACATTCCTGAATATCAGTGTGCAGTTGGTGGCTTTTTAATGTCTTTATTGACTTTTTTTTAGAGAGAGGGAGGGAGAGGGAGAGAGAGATCGAAACATCTGTGAGAGAGTCATTCATCTGCTGCCTCCCGCAGGCCCCCTGCTGGGGATCGAGCCCGAAACCCAGGCCTGTGCCCCGACTGGGAATCGAACCGGCGACCTCCTGGTTCATGAGTGGATGCTCGGCCCCTGAGCCACGCCGGCCCGGCTGCAGGCGATGGCTTTGGTTACTGTGTATTACCTTTATCGATACACGTTCAAGTTCATTTGCTCTTTCGTCTGTCACGTCAATGTGACTGTTAAGTCTGTCCAGAGAGCTTTTTGCTTTAGAAATTATATGTTTAGTTCTAAAATTTCTACTTGGCTCTCTTTTTCTATTTCTGTTTCTCTGCTGAGACTTCCCATCCCTCTGCTGAGAGTTCCCATGCATTGAAAACGACGCTTCGTTTCATTTCACGTAGCCAACTTAACATCCGTGTATGTTCTGAATTTGGTTCATCGCGGGCCTGACTATTGATATTTCTTTCCTTGAGAGAGTGTTCCATTTTCTGGATTGCACGTTGATTCTGGGTCTCCCTTCCCTCCACAGCTGGCCGCCTTTCGCACCCTCCTGTGCACCTCAGAGGGCGAGCCGGCTGCCTTCCTGCTGAGCAATCACCGTCCCCCGCAGCCTCTGAAGGGCCGACAGGTGAGGGCCTCGTTCCACTGACAGCCCCGGCCTGTGGACCACCCCACATGTGTCTGCAGAGAGAAACGAGACCAAACAGGACACAGAACTCCTACCTGTGGTTCTCCCCTGGAGAGGGACCACATCCTGTCAGCCCAGCAGCACCAAGGACCCCCAATCCTTGCAATCAAACGGACTCAACTCCTGGCCTCAGACTTGCACTCCTGGGTCTCAGAGCAGGAAACACTGTGTCCTGCGTGTTAAAACCCATGAGGTGCGTCCACTTCCACCTCCGGGAAAACGTGGCCGGCATTGCAAACCTCAGCACGTGATAAACATTGTCCCTTGCTGTGGAGACTGAACCCATCAGGTCTCTCCAGGATGTTGAGTGAAAAACTTAAATTCATTTCCAGAACAGTAGAACTGGGATACCATATTTTTCTAAACCAGTGATTCTGCCTAACATCTTGATATCTCTCCAGTTCATAAAGAGTTGGGCACGTTTCCAATTTTATTTTATTTAAAAAATTTTTTTGTTGTTATTAATTCACTGTTATTTTTAACAAATTTTAGCGGCTAGGCCATATGTGGGAAAAAACACTAGTAATTTTGCTGAAAAATATTACGTATCTACAACTATAGTCTACATATTTAAATCCGAATCACCTCTCCTAAACAAGGTTCCGCCAATGGTTAGCACGTGATCACACGCATCCTGCGCAGCAATTGTGGCTTGACTTTCTGCACCACTTTTAAAGTGCAGGCCGATGTGGTGACTTGGGCTAAGCTACGCCTCTGCCCAGGCATTTGTTTACTCCCAGTGAAGTATCCTAGTCCGAGAAGGGAGTGTGTTTCACACTCGGAGACGGTCAGTTGCTATACCTGGGGGGCGGGTAGGGTGGGGACCCTAATTACTGGCTCCTTTGTAACTGGTGGTTTCTGCTCCAGTACTGGGTTGGTTCCATGCTACAAACTGGACTTTCATGAACCGAAAATGTTTCCACAAGACCGATTTCCTTGAGGATTGTCTCCTAATTTATTTCTCTCTCAGAGGCAAAAGGTCTGAGTGGGGGTTGAGTGGTCATCATCTGAGAATATTAAAGAGTTACAAACACCAGCAGAGGTCTCTCTGATTTCCCACAACACGTATTGGAGGTACGCTTGTTAGGCATTTTGTATTTTAATTTAGATTGGATTCAACCAGAGTAAAAAAAAATGAGACAAACTGTGAACTGTATCAGGAACCTGTATATGCAAGACGCAGAAGGAGGTTACATTCTTACACCTCTGAAGGTTTTGCAGCCTGTAAGAGGAGTTAGTTTCGCAATGCAGATACATAGATGTTCACGGATTATTTTCAATGGTATCAGTACCTGGGAGGGCTCCGGAAGTTTTTGTGCAGTGTTGACAGGTGTAAGTGTCACACCAGGTAACCGATTCGCTGGAGGACCCTCACTCACAATTCAGTGGAGGCCACGTTTCCAGACGCCGGTGGCAGCTTAGCTGTGGACCCCTTAGCACTACCAGGGTGAAGCTCAGGCGAGGACCGGTAGGAGGAGGGTGTCCTCACGGTAAATGGTCAGCATCTTAAAGGGAGAACATGCAGCCAAAGTAAAGAAACTTTAAGGGGAAAAATGGGCGTAATCCCCCTAAACGGTGAAAAGGGCAGGTGTTGGGGTTTGTTCCTTTGTTAACCACCAGGAGGTGCTGTTGGGGAAAGAAAACCTTGTTTGCTCTCCTGGGAGTGGACAGACTGGCAGGAGGTGCGACATCACGGCCTTGAACAGGTGACCACGCTTTACCCCCATGTGCTGCGGGTGCTGGGTTCCAGCCCCGCCCCGCCCCCCAAGGGGTCCTCTCCGCCTCCATATCTCAGTGTTCCCAGGGAGTGTCCAAAGCGAAGTCAAGTCAGCTCTCACGTGGCGTCCTGTAATTCGTTCTCACCTCCCCCAGGTGCACCCCGGGCCACGGTCCCCGCTGGGAGCATCCTGACATCTGCTCTGGGTGTCCTCACGCCTGTGGGCTCCGCCTCTGCCCCCGAGATGCCCCAGAGACTGCGCCAGGCCAACTCTCAGCTCTTCCATCTGCAGGGTTTGGGATCTGAGGTTAAGGGCAGTGGCCGGGAGCCCGGGCAGGTCTCTGCCCTGCTCCGCGTCCCACTTTCCTAACCCACAAAACAGGAAACAGTATCAATGTAACAGATGCATCGTGCCCCAAGGAGTTACCAGGGGCCCGCACCGCAGTAACTGTTACCGCGCAAATGGGAGGAAGATACACTAACCATCGAGTAGTTCCCAGGTCCGGGCACTAGGGGTCACTGCTGATGCTCGCTGCTCCCCAGGGAGGTTCAAAAAGCCCTAAAGAAACCGGGCGCGGGGAGCTTGCTTCGTAGAGACCACGCGGAAGGCGCGTGAGCCCGCGAGCGCGGAGAGGCCCCCGCCCACCCCTGGGCACCGCTGCGCCAGCGCGCTGTGCTGAGTGAC